AGATTCAGGAAAGAAGGATTTTTCAGTGAGGATGGAAGAGGAATTTCTAGAAAAAAATGGAGGAAGAAAAAAAAAGGAGGTAGTAAAAGATCAGCCTCTTGCTATTTTTTGATCTTCCTTTTTTGCTTTCTCAATAGCACCATCTAAATTGAGTGTTTGTGGCTGCTACTTCTCTCTGGAACCAATTAGTGTATCTCCCTGTTTTCCAAAGCGTCTCATCCATTTTCTCCTTTTTTAACCTGCAATTTTTCACACAAACAGTAAAAGGTTACTATGGGGGGAAGAAGGGGGAAAGAAACATTCACTGGTAATGAAATTCACTTAGGTCCTGACAAGTGGTAGGTATTTCAGAATACTTTAAGAACTATTAGCTTTGAGGACCAAAGAGCAAAGGCGCACAAAACCACCATTTCCAATGATGGGCTAAAGTCTGCCAACAAAGGCTTTGTGAGGCAGAGACTAGAAGGGTCATAAAGTTTTAAAGCTGGAAGGACCTTTCCTAGGTGCCAGTCCCACATTATACAGGTCATTGAGAGTTTGAACTTTACACTAGTGCTTCTTAAACAATACTCTCTTCTATTCTACTAATCACTTTTTTTTCCAATGGAAGGAAAACAAAACCTCCATTTGCTGGACTGTTTTTTGTGTGTTTTTTTTAAATATATTTTTATTGATTTCAGAGAGGAAGGGAGAGGGAAAGAGAGATAGAAACATCAGTGATGAGAGAGAATTATTCCTGCATGCCCCACATTGGGGATTGAGCCTGCAACCTGGCATGCACCCCCCCCCCCCCCGACAGGGAATTGAACTGTGACCTCTTGGTTTCTAGGTCAACCCTCAACCACTGAGCCATGCCTGTGGGCTACTGGCCTGTTTTTATGGGTGAGTGAGACTAAACATTAGGGCCTGGAGCTAAAAGGCAGGAGGGCCCATGTAGGCTAGGTGAAATGATGCAAGCTGCTTCCTTTCCCCATTCATCCCACCAGGTAGTCTTACCAGGTGAACTCCATAGGCTTCCGTTCCACCCCCACAAGCCTGCTTCCACACAGGCCACACACTAAGGAAGGGAGGAGATACAGGTACTATTATTAGAAGAAGGTACATCAAAGACCTTTGCAGCTCTGTGTGGTTTGGCAAGGTAATGGGGAGGGTGCAGGCGGGTTAGCAGGAGACAGCAGTCATACTGCAGAGACCATGGCAACAGAGTGGCAGAGATCCAGAATCCCAACTCTTCTGCCCCAAATATGTTTGAGAAGCCACCTGCTTGCTCATAGAAGTAGTCTCAACATTCCCTCTGCAGTCTGGAACATATGCTTATTTGGTAAAGAAACTCTGCTTAAAATATGAAAATCTAAGCCTCTGTTAAGCTTTCTACAAAATTTCAATCATTAAATTAAAATGCTTTGTATGACTGAAGTAGCAAGCTGTGATACATGATTGGTTAAATTTTATTTTTCACATCCCCCCCCCAAAAAAAGAGATTCCATATGTTTTACCAGCTCATTGAACTTTCTTGGCAATGAACAGATTGGCGTATCTAGGAATGATTGATACCATGTGATTCTTGGGTATCATATTTTGATAATGCTCTGCAGTGTTTCAAACCACCAAAGCAGAAACCTACCCACACACACTGGCAGTTTTTGTCTTGATGGCATATTTAGAGTTTAAAATCATCATTAAAAATTTACAGGTGACATATCAGGAAAAATTAAGCCCACCACTTGTGTTGCCTTGAAAGGAAAACAGTTCTTCATTATAATGAATGAAATTGCATGTTAGGCATGAGTGCTGGTGACCTCTAGAAAATGAACCACTGACCCATAAATGGATGAGAACTGGCCAGAGTAAATGAGGCAGAAGTTTTCCCAGCATAGCTGTGCATGCTGGCAGGGAAGATTCTTGTTATAATTAAAAGAGATACAGTAGTCAATAGGACCATATAATAAGAACAAAAATGACAACATTGCCTAACTATTTTTCTGGCCTAGTCTTCATCCTCATGTTATATCATATATCTGGGTTTTAAAAGTTACACATACATTGCACATAAAAATAACACACATAACCTTGTAGAGAAACAAGCAAAAATTCATTTAGAATATAGACACCGTCAATGCCCAATTTATTGAGAGCAAATCTCCATCTAGATTTGCACTCTCCAGCGTGACAGCTATTAGCCACATCAAAATGGCTAGTGAACACTTGAACTATGGCTGGTCTGAGTTGAGATGTGTTGTACGTGCAACATGCACACCACACTTCCAAGATTTAACCAAACAAAAGTAAAATAGCTCACTACTTTTTTAACAGTTAAATTGACAGTATTCTGGACATCTTGGGTTACTGAAAATATGTCGTTAAAATTTATTTCACTTGTTTCCTTTTACTGTTTTTTTCTAATATGGCTACTAGAACATTTGCAATTACATATGTGGCTTGTATTTATGGCTTGCATTACATTTCTGTTGGCCAATGCTGATCTAAATGAAAAGTTTGGTAAACAAGGTAGCATTTAGCAATCCAACAAAACTGAAATATACATGCATATCAACTGGTGATAACATGACCACGAAGAAAACTGGCCATAAAATTACTGATACGTTGATTAGTACCTTTTCCACTCCGGCTACACTGGAAAGTTTCTGCAAATCCAGATGTTTGCTTAATAACTTTCTAAAGAAAAAAGGAAAAAGAAGAAAGTTCTGCAAAATGAGGTGTACTCTATATTTAAGTTGAATTCGAAGAAACAAAAGAATCATCCACTCTGAGCTTTTTGGCAGCCCTAGATTTTGCTCTTAGGAAGCTGTTATTGAGAAGACAGGGTTGGGCTCTGATTCTTTTATGTGATCAGGGCTATATTTTCCTATCAGGAAGAATATCAGAGAGCTCTTTTCCTTCAAGGGAATGTTATGGAACACCCTAGACAGGGTGCTGGCATTTTGAATGGGAAGCTGTGGACCAAGAAGCTCTATTGCACTGAGAGTATACACTGGGTGTGTCCTGAGGCACATTGATTAGGAAGTTTTTAACACTCAGAGAGGGTGTTTATTTAAATGAGCATTATGCCTTTTAGGGAGTCTATTGGATCTATTTATTCTACAGTTTTCCCAACTTTCTCTCATGTTCCATTGAAAGGATACTTTTCTGCTTACACAGAAAAAGTTATATTGTAAGTACATTTCACTGGGCCTCAGAAATGAATGAGGTGTTAACGAGTCTGGGATAGTATATGGAAAGGGTTGTCACCACAGAACAAACAAGCAAATATAAAATTTTCTTCACTAGGTTGGAGGAAAATAAGGGATTAATGCAACTTTGTGAGATAGGGGAGAGTATTGTTTAAGCCCACCAGCTCTCACAGAAAGCAAAGGGAGGGATGCCTGATTGGACCAACTTCATCTGAAACAAGACAAGCACAGAACACAGCCATAACTGTCTGCCATTGAATCACAGAGAAATGTGGCTGAGTGAGGGTTAAATGGGACAAAATGTGCATAGCGCTTAGTGTCTAATAAGCATTCAGGAAACATTGTTTTTGAAACATTTCTCTGTAGAAAATGCAGACTCCAGGAACCTCATTGTATGCTCCCTGCTTTTTGTCTAAAGTCGTCTGTGAGAAGCTTTACTCCTGCTTTAAGCTGCCAGCAACTCATGGTTAATCACCTCACTCATTTTTTTAATTTATTTTGTAATACGTTGCAAATCATGTGGCATTCTGCTTTGTTCTCTGCCATCCCCCTGCCCCCTCAAAGAAAGCTAAGCAACTCTAACAGCTCCATTACCTTAATAAGCTGAAGCCATTCAGTAAAAAGAGTTGGTATCCACTTCATAAAATCTAGTGTATAGTAATGTCATGAAAAGCTGAAGACTAATCCGTGGGGAATCGCTGGCACCCTATGAAAATTCCTATCACTTATGAACTCGCTATGTGAGAGGAAGGTTGGTGGCCAATGACTGCTGAGAAGATGTAAGGAGTGTTGCAGAGATATGAATAGATCAGCTCTGAAGTTTCATTAGACACTGCACATGTTAATAATAAATTCAATTAGTCTAGCCTCTAACTATGCTGGTGAAAAAAATACCCAGACAAAATAATAATTCACTCTCAATGCCTCATTGGCAACCTCCTTTCCTGAGGAGTGATTTATGCACTAATTCACTGGTTGTGTCTTCATAGGATTGTTCCAAACCAGCCCTTTTGAAATAATAATTTCTACATGTGTGTTGTGAAAGATATAACAAATGATTTCTTATTAATTTTCATTTAATGAGTTGCCTATTCACATGGTAATTTTTAAGAAGTTCTCTTCTTAAGATAAACAGGTTATAAATATTGAGGATAACACTTCCATTTCACAAAAATTGTGAGAGGAAATCTGTCTCACATTCTCTACTTGATTTGAAAGTCAATCACGTGAAAACTTTCTATACTAAATAGGCAACTATTTCTCTCCTAGTTAGTACAGCTGATTGCTTTAAATTTCTATAGCCAAGTGATTCCAAATTGGTTTAAAAAAGTATTCATGAGCAGGAGAGGACCTTGCAAGGATAAAGGGGAATGGACAGGAAACAAAGTCATGAGTGAGGTAGAAAGCAGCGAGGCTTGATTAAGGAGCCCACAGCACTGGCTGACCCTTTTTTAAAGAACAAAATGAAAATCATTTCTAAGCCCCTCCCTTTTTAACAAGACCCCATAATTTCTTATGTAAATATTAATATTCAATAAAAAAATTTTCTTTGCAAAAAGTTTAACACTATAGCCATTCATTAACTATATGTTGTCATGATAAAAATAGCAGGGATGAAATAATCAATAAAATTAACACAAAATAAAAACTAGGGAGAAGAGATGACTCAGAAGAGTCTTAGGTATTTCAAGTGGTTCATACCTGTATAAAAAGTCCTGCAATAGACAGGACAAGGCTCTTAAAAATGATTTCCTGCAATCCTTGGAGGAGCGTGCCTAAGATATTAAACAAAATGCAGTTGCTACTTACATGAGAACCGAAAGGGCCGCACTCCTAGTCCGCACTGCCTCACGCCCTCTCCATGAAAGAGCCCGTACTGCATCTCCCCCATGAACTTGTCCAGCTCCTGCCCCGAGGCGTTAACCAGCAGAGCCCCTGTTTTGCAGAGGAAGGTGGCTTTGATCCACAACGGTGTCCCCAGGGCTGTCACAACTCCAAGGGCGCACACGAAGCTTAATACCCCCGCCATGCAAAAAATGACTTTCTTCTGTTGGTTTGGCATAATGAGAAGTGGACTTTGTGAGGGTGAAGTTCAAAAATAAGACCTTGTGAGTGATGAGAAGCGACCCGACTGTCCCTTTGACTGCATTGATTATAGAAGCTGAACAGACGGAACGCAGCTGAAGAGGAGCTTTGTCGCCAGGGGCTGCGGCCAGGTGAAATGTCAGCAGAATGCCATAGAAGGCTTCTTTAGCACACTTACTTGTCTTTTCTCCTTTTTTGCTTCTACTTCTCTCTAATTTGAAATCTTTGGACTAAGAATCTGTAAAATAAAACTCTTTCAAACTGCCTTGAGTATCTCCTCCTGTGTCCCTTGGTAACAAAGGTCTAAGATAACAGATGGAGTCCTCCGAGTAACTTGATAAATGCCTCCCTTTCTTCAGCCTTTTGTCTGATTGGGTGAGTTGAAACTTTCAGAAACAGGCTTGTTTCCTATGGTAAATTTTCAGCAACTTGAGAAGTTCATGTATTGTGTGTTTTTATTTTTGTGAGTTTGGTTTTGTGTGTGTGTGGGGCGGGGGTATTTTTAGTGGGACAGAAGAGGAATCTTTGCAGAGGTGGAAAGGACGTGTCTATTTATTGGTTGGTGTTAACTGATTTTGAAAAATGATCATTGTAGCAGGACAAAATATCGACTTGAATTGGGTCCTGCATGGATATGAAGTGCTCTACACCAACCACCAGGGCTTGTCCTCCTAGCTTTTTTTTTCTCCCAGATCTATGATTTAGAACCAATGTGTCAATGGAAAATTTGATTCAAGTTTTTCCTGGCAAACGAAAATATGATGATGTAGTTACAAATATCTAGGTTTCTAAATGCTTTTCTTTCAAATATTTGGCTGCTTCAGGACAATAGTAAGGGGGTATTATTATGTCTGAGAAGTACCAGAATCTGTAAAGAAGATAAGCACATGGTCATGAGAAGAAGAGACTGTGGTCAGATGGGAGGTTCTAAGAATTTGCCACAGAAAAACAAGGGTCCCAGCAGAGGTAATTGGTTAGGGAGTAAAAAGACAAAGTCATAAGCGAGATTAAGTAGCAGGTGAGTTTGATTAAATTTTCAAGATCTGAAGACTAAAATTCAGAATTCAGTGACAGCTTTTAAATCCAATTTCCAATGAGATTCCTGTTCTTGCACACAGATATGGGGGGGTGAGGGTGGGAGGGGTGTTTACTGAATATCTATTGTATGCCACATTATTGTGCTAGGCTCTGACCTACAAAGAATTCTTAACATTTAGGACAAAAGTTCTTAACTTTTGGTAAAAACTTCATATGTCTGGCCACCTTGCTAACTATTTTACCTAAATTATCTAATTTAATTCTCGTAGTTACCATATAAATGGTAATGAAAATGATGGTGGTGGTGGTAGTCAAGATGATGATATCTCATTTTAAAGATAATGAAACTGAGGCTCAGAGAGATAAAGCAACTTGCTCAAGAGAGTAGAGGAGCTAAATTCAAATTCAGGTTTAATTCTGAAGTGTATGTGCTATTCTAAGCAGCCCATGACCTTGAGGAGATGCAAGCTCTTCAGTCGGGGTTGGGTTGAACTGGGAGTTAACAAGGACAGAGTAGCCCTCTGTTAGTTATACATCTTGGGTGCTTGGAGAACAGAAATGTTTGCAAATAAAATTTCCCCAGTTGGTCAAAAGCACATGCTTATGCTAGCTTCTGTTCTCTTGATCCATTGTGAAGCATCGCAGCTTAGAAGACGTCAATACATGAAGATTTATTTCACACATTGGCAGCATCGATGGGTCTCTAGGTTGTGTGTGCTTGGAGGGGAATTTTAAGATATAGTCTTGGACTTTGGGGCACAGCTATCCTCTCTTGCTACAAGCTGTCTTGTTAAAGATATACTGCTAAGGGTAGAACTGATTCAAGAATGCCAAGGTCCCTTCAGAGGAGGAGGGGACAACACAAAACATGGCCTCAAAAGAATGGGGCATACACAAGATTCAAAAGGGGAACTCAAAATTAGGGTTAGGATATAAGTAAGACTTTATTGCATGTAACTTGACACAGAATAAACAACTCATCACAGGTTATTTGGCCTCCCAATTAATTATCCACTAGATTTAGACTAATTATCATCATTGTACACTGAAAACAAGGGAGTACCAGCAGTTATCTGGAGGTATATGTGCCACATTCAATCCAGAAACCTTAATTTAAAATATCCAAGGAGAGTTCTAATTAAATCAACATATTCTATAATGGGAAGAGACAACATTTCCAAGCCTGGAAGCAGAAATTACCTACAACTTAATCAATAATATTAACACCTTTACAGAAATGAGAGTGCTAAGGGGGGTTGGGGGTAGTTAGCATAGGACAGTGGTTTAATGAACCAAAACCTTGCCAAATGTCTTCAGGCTGCGCAGGAAGAGAAGCCCTCCCTGTGACTGCAGAGAGCAATTAGATGATACCCGTTCTTAAGTTTGCATCAGTTTAAAGTGAGAAAAAGAAACACAGCATAGTGAGTTAATCTTTTATCGTGAAATCGTGTCCTTTCTAATATTTTCTGTTAAGATTTTTTTCTTTCATAAAATAATGGTAATTTAATTTTTAATTAATTGCTTGGCAAGTTAAAAAAAAATGTCAAACCTATATCTGTTCCCAACTTAAAAATACAAAACAAAACCACATTGGTCTATAGCATCCTTTCCTGTGTGGAAAGGATGAGGCCTGAAGACCTCTCAGCTCTAACCTGGCTGTTCATTGGAATCACTTGAGATTTTAAAACTATTGCTGTCTGGGTCCTAGTCCCTGAGACTTAGATTTGTTTGACTTCAGAGTATGGCCTCAGGTGATTGCGGTGTGCAGCCAGGGCTGAGAACCGGGCACTTCCCCTCCTCACTGGCTGCCTGTGGGCTGGGCAGTGATCTGGTGCTGGGATGCAAGGAGACGTGAATGTCTAGTCACTAGAGGAGAATATTCTCATTGCAAATTAATAAATTTACACTATCCTTTGTAGCTCAAACTTTCCTGAATTTTGTTCAGCACCAAGAGCATGATCTTGTTGAAATGTCCTGAGAGGGGTAGGTTCCAGCATATCCAAAATTCAAGACGAGGCTCTGGATCAGAGATTTACCTTCAGTCATCATATGAATGTCACCGGTAGTGTCTCCTGATTGTGAGGCGGCCTCCTTGGGTCCTGCGCCCACCTCATCTCCTCTCTGTACGGCTTCTTTTCAAAATTCCATACCGCCCACCCACAAGCTGCAGAGTAGTGTGTGTGATCCACCCCCTGGGAGTGATATAATAGAGCCTGGCAGTCATTGTGCCTGACAGCCTTCCCGTGAAACTTCATCTTAAATGTATTGAATGACAGTGATGACACCATTTTCCTTGCAGTCGCTCTGAGAATTTGAGTCATTCATGTCAGCAAGTTTTCACCAAGCATGCTACAGAAATCTTCTCTCAATCCTAATAGCAATACATTTGGTGACATAAGAAAATGGAACTAGGCCTTTCCATCCTCCCCCATGACCCTTTCAGGTTCTGGATGATGACATAATCTTTAAGTGTGCCTAGGGAGAATACAGAAAAAGAGTATATATAATTGAGGACTGTGTCTTTATGCCTCTTCTCACACTAAGTTGGATTTTCCTTATAGTCATTCAAAAACAAAAACTTCGCCAAAAAGGCTCCACTCCAAAGGCATGGGAATTCTCACCTGAGTTGCTCCCTTTGTGTAAGAGACAGCATGGTCTGGTGTGGAGAGAGCACTGGGAGAAAGATGTGATCCAGGTTCTGGGTCCAAGTCCATCATTAAATCAAGAATTCCTTCATTTGGGGGGCATTTATTTTACTCATTTAAGAAAAGAGTGGTTCTGGCTCCATAGGTGATTTTCAAATTATTTTTAACCAGAGAAACCATTTCCTCCACTGAACTGTTGGGTGAATTAAGAGATAAAAATTGAGCTTCGAGAGAAAAAATGGCTGCCAACAGGAAGGCAGACTGCAAGATAGTGCGTGAGTGAGAGAACGAAGGGAGAGTGTGTGGTCACACGGGGAGTGTTTGTTTGTGAGTTGAGGGACAGCTATACTCCAGGGGACTGTGGGGTGTGCCAGACAGGGTTCCCCTGATCAGACAGCTTCCACTGCTGCTGGGATCCCTCCCGGAGCGACTGGCTCTGACATGGAGACCATGCCATCTTGAAGGGGAGAGTGGATGTTGTCAGAAGCCTGAAAATCCCGGGAACACCGGTACCCAAGCGGCGCGAGCAAGTGGATTCGGAGTGGCTCTGCACCCCCACGGAAAGGTCAGATTTCGCCTGGGATAAGGTGAGGTCTGTGGTCAGGGCACGAGAGAGAGAGAAACGCGCAGGGCAGGATCTGGAGGATCCAGGGAAGTCTGTGCCCAGAAAAGTCCCCGGCCGCTGGGGCTGGTGTGATCCGCAAATGTGGAAGGGGATCTGCAGGGCTGCTAACAGAAGGGAACTCTAAAAAGCAAACCATAGCTGAACTGGGCGCAAAGGGGCAGCCTAAAAATGTTAACAGTATGCCGGCTGCTTAGACCCAAGGGGAAAAAAGACTGCACAGACTTGCACCGCAGCGCCGGAGTCTGTGCACTTACTCTGGCCTTTCTCTCTCTCTCTCTCTCTCTCTCTCTCTCTCTCTCTCTCTCTCTCTCTCTTCTCTTTAAAACCTTGCTTTTGATTACTAAGCCCAATACATAGGATCACCCAATTGGGGACATTCTAAGAAACTGCAGGGGAAAGTTGTTTTTGTGGAACCTGGGGATCAGAGCAAGGAATAAAGATCAGAGAACCAGCTCTGGGGCAGCCCATTCCCCCAAACCAGTATTAAGTGCCACAGGGAAAACAAAATCTAAACACTAGCTAGAGAGGACCTATAGACCCGGAAGTCAATCCAGAAACACTGCCACCCAGGGGTTGAATCACAAATTGACGCTTGTGTAAACACAAATAAAGGAGCATAAGAAACAAAGTACGGCCTGCTTGAAAATCAGGACTGTGGCCTACCACACT